CAAATATAAGATATCAACTCCCCAGAGTCTTGACATTTACAGTGAGAACAGATATACTGATTGAAGGTTGTTTACAATGTCAGCAGTTGAATGGACAAGCACGTACGGTCAGTCTTGAAATGATGGTCAGCTTGACGATGGCAGACAGATGTTTATAAATCCAGTCATATGAAAACCCCGGGCACAACTCAACAACCAGCCTTTATATAGCTCTTACGCAGTTCTCGAGCATTCTAGCAAGGCTAGGCTCCATCATTATTCTCTCAGAACGATGAGGGATTTTCTCGAACACACGACATGATGAAAGCCAGAAGTCAAAACAAAAATACTTGCCAAGGGAGGCAACTCTGAAGCGCTATCAAAAAGACATGCCGCTACAAATACTATTGCCATTGGACTTATGATGCCAGATGCGAGCCACAACCCATACTCAAAACTTTAACCATTCTCACACTCTCATTAGACTGGTTTGAATAAGGGGATAAATTATGTTCGTCGACCAATACCTGACTCCAGTCTCTCGGAAATGGGCAGATATAGAAGAGGTAATACACCAAATGCATCAGATTTCATAGACATTCATCTATGTCGGTATTCTTTGACTGGTAGCGTATCTCGCAATACAACACTTAAGATTTTCTTATTTAACAATATAATCTATAAGCGCCCCGAGATGAGATACTAAACGGAGGCAGGTTTCAAATGCATTCATGGAGTCAAACTACAATGTAGTTTTTTCAACAGTAATACATACACAATATAAACGCTCTGAATATAGCTGGCGGTCTGTGAAGCCTGCGACTGGGTGTTCTCATATTAGTGAATTGATACCAGTGTTTTGCAATGGAGAGCTGTTGGTGATCAGTGTTTGACACCTTGCACCTTTGACAGATTACACGTTGCTCCAAGGTTTTACTGAATGCTAAGCATAAAGATGTATAGTAAATCTGGATAAGGGGAAAGTTATAGGCACAACAGTTTCATTTTATATATTTTCCAGAAATGTTCATTTAAACTAATAATTATTGCCTTAGAGCATGTCTATGAAAGAGTTGGCATAATCATGGTTACCGTATTATTTAAGGATTCTAATGTATTCATAAATCAAGTGGTATGGTTGGGTTGTTGTTAACGACGCACTCGGCAATATTCCAACTATATGGCGATGGGGTAGATCTGGAGATGTCGAAGGCTATGGCAGTACTTGGGTGTTGTGTTTCCCCAAAAAACAATCTTGCCGTGTTGGAAAATTACGTTTGCTTGTTGCATATTGGGGACGTATGACCGAAGAATTTCATCTGTTTAACTTTAGGCCGTTAAACTGCACCAAGTCTGTTCTACCGGTATTTGAGATGGTGGCATCTTTACACTCTCGCCATCAAAAGGCAACCATGCTTGTCGTAAGATGCCAATAACGGGATTGGGTGGTCAGCCTCGCAGACTTGGTTGACACATGTCTTCGTATCCCAATAGCGAAGATCGATTATCATGATGCTGATCATTGTATTGTCTTGTTCAAACTCGAATATTTAGCGACCCCCACCATAAAGCTGGAATAATGATGAATGCAGCATTAATCCACAACAAACAAACAACTGCATTGTGTTTCTTTACACGGAATCTGATATTACGGGCTGGCTGCTCTCTAGAATTGCTAGAATGGACACTGGTACACCCTTGAGATCAGGACATCACACTTTCTATGTAGATCAACCTCTCTGGCCAACTGATAATAACCGTCCAGTCACAGCGATTATTTGCATATAATACAACAACTTCATTGTAGGATTGTGGGACACATTTCAGTTTTTCTACAATGTATATTGACAAACGTCTGTGATATGAAAATGGATTGTTCGCCTCGGCATGTATCAATAAAGTGATAGTATAGTGTCAATACTCCTTGTGAAGTTTGTTTTGTCGTTCTAGTAGATGTTCCGTATTTGATGGGTTTAGGACAATGTCTTGTTGAAATTCTTATATTGATCTTTTTATGACTACAACTCATGAATTATACAAATATTGGCAAGTGTCCTGTCCATGAACAACGAATTATCGAGAGTAAAAATATCGATTCAAGGACATAAGTGTTCTTCTGAGGCCTGTTTCATCAGTGCTAATGCCGCTTTGAGACTAATATAAACAATGGTAACTTTGATGGTGACGATAATATTAATGATGATGATAATGACGACTAATATGATGATGATGATGATGATGCATTTTGGACCTACAACTTTCAGTCTTGAAATGTGAGATCAGTCTTCCTCTGGAGTCATCCCACAGATTTTGAATTGGGACAAAACCCAGTGACATCGGCGGTCACGGGAACGTTCATGAAATAAGTACACTCAAGGAGTGTCTTGGACGAGCATTAGCAAAAATATAAAATGGCAATTATACATAATGGCCTCTGGTACTCGCGCAGCCGTGACAACTGAACACCTGATATCTCTTTACACCTGCAAACGTACCCTGGATATGCATGAGATGAGTCCTTCGCCCGCATGGCTGTCCGTACTTTCTGTGTTTACATTCCAACGTGAAATAATACAGACAAGACAAGACAAGATTTTTATTAGGTCAAAGACCAATACAAGATGTCCTATCTGGATCTTCAACCGCTGTGCCGTAGTCTGATAAAGAAGACTCTTATAGAATTATTCGCAATATCCTCCCAACAAGACAATTACTTTATAAAACTGTATGCACTTCTTCACCAGTATGTCCATTTTGTGAAACAGGAACAGAAACTATCAACCATATGTTATGGGAATGGTAATCTGTCTTTAGATCATAGAAAGAAATAAAATCATGGTTGAATTCAGTACAGCCACAACTGGAACTCACAAATAAACCATTTTGTGAAACAGGAACAGAACTATCAACCATATGTTATGGGAATGGGAATCTGTCTTTAAATCATAGAAAGAAATAGAATCATGGTTGAATTCAGTACAGCCACAACTGGAACTCACAAATAAACCATTTTGTGAAACAGGAACAGAAACTATCAACCATATGTTATGGGAATGGGAATCTATCTTTAAATCATAGAAAGAAATAGAATCATGGTTGAATTCAGTACAGCCGCAACTGGAACTCTCAAATAAACTCGTTATATTGGGAATGAAAGGAAAGAACAATAATCCTATTAATGAAATCATTTCAGTAGTCAAACAGTATATCTATGGATGCAGCATAAATTGTTTCAGACCAAAGTTAGAATATTTTAAAAAGGAAATTGTCCGTTACTATGATATGTCAAGATATGTTTTACCTATTAACGGTAACTGAGAAATTTGTTTTTTTTGTCCATATTGGTCAACTTTACTTTTTAATACTTGTAAAATAATCCTGCCAATAAATATTGACGTACATTTTCAGCAAATTGTATAATATATACCATTGTATTATTATGAAATTTTTCTATACGTTTGCCTGTACCATGAAATATGGAAAATAAAATAGGAATACTCTTACCCTTGCACACTCAAAAAGGACACAGATCATATTGTCCCTGTTTTCATTTACATTCATTAAAGATGCTTCTGACGCAAAGAGACTCTATACACATCATCAATTCATATAAGACTATTTTCAAGTAATCTAATATTTAAACGTCATAAATAAAGTTACACAATTAGTAAAACACATTTTCTAAATGTGTCTGTATTTTTTCGGCCTCTCGCTGTCTTGTGGTTGAGGTTGGAGCTAAATGAAAAGTATATTCTTTTAACAATTTTTTGTTTAATAGAAAAGTGTTTACGTACGCTGTTCTGGACTGAGAAATATTGACAATTGCCAACCTGGTGTATTCAGTTTTATTTACTTTACTGATATAATAAAAATAGCAAGATCCTTTACAACTAATTTTTAATATATCACCTCCAACGCGTGTACCTGGTATTTGATAGTGATTTGTAAATAGAAGCGACAAAACCCTCTTTCCTCGTCCATAAGAAATTTCTGCTGAAAGCAGAGTCGATTATACAATTGTGACTGTATCATGAGTATATATTGTTTCATCAGTATTATAGCTTTACGATGCTGTTTGTAAACAAATCGAGTCTGGATAACTTAAACATGTTTAAGTCATATGTGTTATTTAATGAAACTTAGGCATGTTTAGTAATATGATTTTATGAAATGATATTTATATGCTATAGGCAAAGGTTTATTTATAAATTCCAGCATCGCGAAAACCTCGCCGCGTGACCAGAGTAGGGGAGTTAAATGATAAAATGGAGACGAAACGAAAAAAGGATTATAATTCCTTTTTGCCTACATATTATATTTTATTTTATTTTGTTGTTGTTGCAATGTCTTTCATAATGTGGTAGTTACTGGAGTAGTTAAATTTCAAATATCACCTCACAACTTTCTAGTAAACATTATCCGTAAAAGTCATTGTTGAATATGCCTCATACAGTATCTGTATGTAAAACCAGTGACCTTCATTTGGCAGAAGATGAATGTCATGTCCCTTTTATAGGTAAGAAATATACACACTTGAGAAAAGGTTTTCCTACCTGGTTACAGAAAATTTATTATTTATTATTTATTACTCCTGTGATAGTAATGCACTGCACGACAGAGACGTAACACTCTGGATATGTGACATAAATACATGTATGCTTTATCTTACAACTGTACTACGGGTGGACTGAATTACGAAATAAACTTGATTGATTGAGAGTTGATTAGGAAGCAACTTCCATTAGCGTACTCATATCACTACGTCGATTTTTCAGTTGATTTTAGTTACGCCAGCTAGATAACACAGGGAGAGCCTACTTCGAAGCCTTGCTATCTATGTAAGTTTTTCATCAAACAATGTTGCATATTAACATTCAAAGTCTGCTTCATGACGCAACGCATTGCATCTGTTCTGTTTATTTCATTTTTTTTTATTATTTTTGTAAATCACATTATCAAACTATTATGAACATATTTCTCATGACCATTTTCTTTCTATCCATCGACCTGTCCAAAAGAAAACACAGTTTCCACTTTGTTAATAACACTCTTCAAAAAGAGAAACGCACAGGTGTTTTCAGTAGTTCATATCGATATACACTGTATTTTTACAGCAGTCGAGGGGCTGTGGGGTAGCCTAATGGTTAAAGCGTTGGCTCGTCACGCCGAAGACCCGGGTTCGAATACCCACATGGGCACAATGTGTGAAGCCCATTTCTGGTGTCCCCCGCCGTGATGTTGCTGGAATATTGCTAAAAGCGGCGTAAAAAACGAAACTCAGTCAGTCAGTCAGTTTACAGCAATCGTAATTTAGACAATTCCTATGTTTGAAACCCGTCAATCGTGTTGCTGTGAAGTGACCGAAAACGCAGCCCAAAATGCCGTCATATTGCTGAAATATTGCTGAGTGTGGCGTTAAACAACAAACAAAGCTCTTGAAAAGTAAGACCACTGGCAAACAAGTAATGTATCTAATTGTTATTCGGAGAATATAGGTAGTCTTGTGGAATTAGAACGATCGGCGTCACAGTTATTTATTGGTTGGTTTGTTCAGCAATATTCAACCTATATGGCGGCAGTCAGTAAATAATCGAGTCTGGACCAAACAATCCAGTGATCAACAACATGAGCATCGATCTACGCAATTGGGATACGATTACATCTGTCAACCAATTCAGCAACCTCACCACCCGATCCCGTTGGTTGCCTTTTACGAATATACATTCTAACCCGGATCTTCGCAGGTTTCAGGGTCAATGAACACAGAATAGGATACATGTGTGATAAAGTAACTCATGTGTACCGAAGTGGGTATTTTGAAGATTGGAAGAAGTTGAAATCAATATTGGCTTTCCTTAAGTGTACTGAGTGTATTCATCTGGCAATTGTTTGTTAATGTCATTAATGAAGATCCTTTCAATAGTTGATGAGGGAAGTTGATAGATATGATGCTTGGATGCTTTTAATCAGAGGGAGCGATCAATAAACTTCATTTGTAAAACAAATAAGAAACGATAGTTTCAGACATACCGTTATGCAAGGGCACTTGTCAAAATTTAGAGAACTACTGCAGAGTGATCTATAGACTGGGCATCCCCAGCAGCTCCGCGATCATGTTCTTCTTACTCGAGGACAAAGGTATTGGGAAATATATTGATTATGTGCATACACAATAATACAATACTGTTATTTAATATAAATGCCAAAATTACTCATGAAAACAACACAGATGAGCTAATATATGGATAATGCTATTTTTGAGGGCATTATTTGCGGACGTGTTTGCCCCAGAATATCTGCCAGTCCAAAGCCAAAGTCGAATGAACCGACGCACCCACTATGACGTCACTTGACAACAGAACTGATAGTGGCCCGTCGTTAAGGTTGAGCGGTCCAATATCATTTGCAGCGGCCCGCAAATTTCTGATAATAGGAGGGCCGTTTCATGATAATTCCATGTGTTTTAGCTATAATCCCCGTGTTAAAGTCCCCGAACCGCATTATTTTCCCCTCCGCCCAGCCCTTTCTGTATTGCTAAAGCCCTAAAAGAAGTAGGTCTCATCTCCCATTTCATTGGGGATCATTTTCGATTGAAAGGAATTATTTGTTTCTATTTAAAATTATAAATACTCAGAGACTAAGCGTTGATCTACATCCGGCTGTATCTGTTGTTCCTCGGTTTCACTCAAGGTTGAACTGAATCTGAATTTGAAAGGTTGAAGTAGGTTTGTTCGTTGGTTGTTTCACGCCGCACTCCAGTTGTATGGCGGCCGCCTGTTAATAATCGAGTCTGGACCAGACAATCCTGTGATCAACAACATGAGCTGTTAGTCGGTTAGTCGCTTGTGTTGCTGAAGACTAATTCTAACCCGGATCTTCACGGATATACCACTGATTGAGAGCACCGCATCACAGTCGAAGTTAATATTTATTCAAAGTACTCCTTTCTCAGTCTGACTGACAGACTGACTGAGTTTGGTTTTACGCCGCTTTTAGCAATATTCCAGCTACATCACGGCGGGGAAACACCAGAAATGGGCTTCACACATTGTACCCATGTGGGGATTCGAACCCGGGTCTTCGGCGTGACGAGCGAACGCTTTAACCACTAGGCTCTCCCACCGCCCCCTTTCTCAGTCATCGAAGGAAGGCATTTTGGAATAGCGATATGTAAACCCGAACGTAAAAACGTTGATTACTACACTTTGACAATTTTGGTAAGAAAAAAATTAAGAGGGAAACAAATGAGAGCTTGCAATTTGTGCTTTATTGTGACATCACTGTGACGTCATGTATGACGATGAACTATGTAAAGTAATAGTGAGTGAGTTTAGTTTAATGCCGCTATAGCAATATTCCAGCAATATCACGCCGGGGAACCAGAAAAGGGTTTCACTCACTCTACCCATGTGGGAACGCTTTAACCACTAGGCTACCCCGCAGCCCTGTAAAATAATAAAGGAGGGGCGGTAAGAATCAAATCTACAAGGCGTGTTCATGTTTTATACTTATCTTTGAAACATCAGTCTATGTTCCTGATGTTTCCTTGACTCAATTGCTCATTAAAAAGCAATAAATCAGCTTCCAGAATGACAATAAAAGTTTGTTAAGTCTGTAGATATTTACGATCCGAGTATATTTTGAGCATCCTTATCTTATAGTGACGATATCAGGTGCAGCGATTCATGTCCCGTCGTTGTCCCGGGTCACAAACACATGCAAATGCAAATCAAATATTCAACTGAAAAATGACACGGGAACATATGTAAAGGCATGTTTGGATTTCTGTGTTCAGCCAACTCAGGAAAAATATCGACACGAATGATTTAATATTCAGTAAATAGATGCTCTACCCTGGTAACATACAGAATATTTAACGATATTGTTTGCTTCATAAATATCAATATCCAATCTCTACATCTCTACAATGGAACACTTACTCGTACAATGTCTTCATGACACAGTCCTGGCTTTGGAAACTCCATTAAAGTAATGTTCCATTACCGTTCAGGTATCTGCTTATTCGACGCAGTGCTGATACAGCAAAACAAATTATATCGAGATATCCGAAATATCGAGACATCCGTATCGAGTTAAAAGAGCTTGAATAATGACAAATTATGAAGGATTTTGAGGGGACCGAGAAGTTATATCGAGACATCAGAGTTCGACACAACGGTGCTCGACTGTATGCATTTTAGCATCGTGGTGCTCTGCTTAATATTGATGTGACATTTGCACATTAAGAATAAGCGGCCATTTAATGCAGCATTGCTTTTGTTAGCTAAGGTTATCAATCAACTCCGTTTCTATGAGACAAGTATTGACGTTTATTTTAAAAGACCGTCTGAATGTGCAAATGGAAGAAGATGCCCGCATCCCTTTACGCTGAATGCTACTCTAGGTCGTTTAATGCGTGTTTCATATACTTCAGGAGACACGTACATTCAGAAACTGAAATCGTATCTTTCTCTTTCAGTTCGTCCTCTGTTGCTTTCCATTATTTCTTCAACAAACACGATATCGTTACGGGCAATATTTGCAGCAGTTTCTACAAATATGACTTGATTGGAAGTATTATGTTCTTCTTGTTGTTTTTCCTCTTATATGTATTCTTAAGCCCTCAATCGATTAATATCAAAGTTCAAATGAGAAATAGAGATCATTACACGTGCACGTATTTCATACGACTTATACGAATTTCGGAGAAGTCATATGACTAACTTGCTCGAGTGTAATAATTTCTTTATTATCCATTTTATTCATGTACATTTGTGCAGTAAAAACGGTAAGCAAGTGTGACGGCCATCTTCATTAAGGTCACCTTCAATTGCGTAATGACGAAATACAGAAACAATGGTTGCTAGGCAAAAGTTATATGTGCACATGATATACACTAAACGCCAAAAGAAACGTTACCTAATAAGAACATAATAGAGTCCCTGCATCAATACATCTTTAAGTCTAAACGATTTGACAAATTATACTAACAATTATATGCAATCAATTAATGAAGTGTAGCTGCAAGCTCAATGTTTATAAGCACCTACAACGCAGATATATGATTTAATTTTTCGGTTTTTGTATCCAGTTCTTGTGTATTTTGTTTAAATGATATATGTACTGGTGCGGTATTGATATAAGCAGAGTTCTGCTTGTTTACCAAACCAGATTCTCTAGGAATAAAAATATGTTTAAACCAAACGTTACCCTCCTTCCTTAATGACGGAGGTACCTATTTTTAACTGGCGTTGTGATGCGTGGACGTCCACTTCTTAGTCTGTCTACGGTGACCCCAGTCTGTCTGAAGCCCTGAATAAGTCTTATAACCGTGATACGGTGGCATCCGAGGGCGTTGACAACAGCATTGTATGTCGACCATCTTCACCATCCCAATGGCTCTTTCTCTCTCTCTTCAGCTGTTAATCGTTGCATATTTCTCGTACTTGTGTATCATATCATCTTTTCTAGGCTCTCTTCATACCCTATAGAATCATTCTACATGTGAAATGGAAGCAAATACTGCTTGAATATTGCTGCGTTTTGGCGATTGATATTGCCATGTGTAAACAGAAAATGGAAAAATGTTACTTTGCAAGCACACATGTTAACACAGATCATTGTAGATGTTCCTAAACATTTTTTAACAATATCAAAGACACGTTTTACTTGTTTTCACTAATGCAGATCAGCAGAAAATGTTGTAAAAGACTGAAATCATAGGAATGATTATTTTACAATTTTACACACTCTACAACAGTCGTTTCTTGTTTCAATAGTTGAAAAATGGTAACTTTAAATGGTTTATCTTTGTCTTAGAGCAGAATTTTATTTCAACCTTTCTTTTGGACATCTAAATCATTGGTTTATTTCGGCATGGACAAAAATAGGACAATTTAACTCTTCTGAAAAAGCTGCATTTCAACTCAATATGAATGCATTTGAGAATTTTCTTTCGTGATTTGCATAAAGCTGTGTTGTTAAGCTTTCTTGTAAACTAATACCTTCTAACATATCTTTGATAGTTTTTAAAAAATTCATAAAGGTAGGGGGTAACTTTTCTTTAGGCGTTTAGTGCATATGACACTGGTTACGTTTCACCATGTGGGTATTTAAAGGTAATATGAGTGCAGTTTGCTATCAACCATGCCAGTGACTTTCAACTTCATGTGATGCACGTTTAAGTCGTTTATCGCTTTGTTGAAGGAAGACCACTGGATACTTTTCACTGAACGGTCACCTCAGTAGTTTTCGTTCGTTCGTTCGTTCTTTCGTTCATTCATTGGCCGAGTTACGATACTTATTTCGAGTGACAGTAGTCTCAGTGCTTCCTTTGTGATAATGTCCATGTCAAATCGACCGCCACCGTTATCTACTCGGAGAACGGAAGTACTGTGGATTTAACTCCGGTCACTTTACATCAAGAAACGTTAAATGATGGTACTTGTTATTACCCTGCCTGATGTTTAACATTAAGAGGATAAAGCAAGGAATATACGGCTCGGGGGCAATGCACTGTGCATTTAATTTTAGTGGGCAATCCATTTTAAACTGCGGCATGTGTCTGTCCCAGAGCATTACAAAATGGACGTCTGGCCGGATTTGCACATACACATACACATACACACATACACATACACATACACATACACACACATACACATACACATACACACACACACACACACACATACACACATACACATACACATAATCACATAATCACATAATCACATACACACATACATACACATACACACATACATACACACACACACACACACATACATACACATACACATAGACACACATACACACACTCACACACACACACTCACACATACACATACACATACACATACATACACATACTCTCACGCACGCACACGCTGTACTTTTGGAAGAATATTAGTTTACCTTTTTTTAAATAAATCAGTCAAATTTAAAAAGATGATACAACACAGGAATGGGAAAAGTCACGTGCTAACCTCGTACACAAAAGATGTCATTCAAATGGACCCGTTGTTTGTACATAAACACACGTTTTGGACATTGTAGCTCCATAGTTGTAAATGAAAAACATGCCGCATATTACTCCTAAGAAATAACATCCAATTACAGCCAACTTCCACCGGAACTGTTTAAGTTTGCTATTTTCAACAAATAGACAAGAAACGGTTACAGCAAACAATTACCAATTATATTTTAATATCAGGCTCGAACACAGGTCCGATCTATTTTCAACATCAAATTGTAGTTCATGCCATGCTGCTTCCTAAAAACAAATGTGTACTTGACGAGATATAACTTGGCGTGTGTACCAACTCAGAAAATTGTGTTTACATACACTAGCTAATGACCAAGATCTGACTTCGGTTTCAACTATCACTTCCTGCCACACATACGTAACAATGGGATGCCATTGTCTTCTATTTTGATTGGAAACTATGGTTTTGGATATAAAGCGAGATACAATGCAGGTACTCGACGATAGTTTGTACCACCTCAAAGTTAAGAGATCTGACACAAGAAGTCCAAATATCAAGGAGAACCAGAGGTAAGTGTTGTAAAAGATGGTTTCATAGTTTTTAAAGTGTGACATGATTTTTTGTTATATGATTAGATTTTGATATTCGACGTTAAACTAATTTTACGAAAACATCGATAAGGTGTTGTAAACGTTTATAAACTCCGTCCCCTAAACGTGAATGTCACTCGCGATTTTATGTGGTAAATTTTTATTGTGTAAAATAAATATGAATGGATCATGCATTTCATGATATAAATTGTATAAAATAATTAAATATTCCCGTGCATACGCACCAATGCACGCATTTCAGGATGCTGTTCCGATCAATATCTCTCAGTTCTGTATACATGCCAATATATTATTAGGTCTTTGAATGGCATTTAGAAGTGGCACACATAAGGAAGAGCTGGCTGGGGTCTCCGGATGTCAATGGCTTCTTGTAGTTTTCTTTTGTCGCCAGTTGTTGTTGGCGGACAGGACATTGGTGGCTTCCCACTTGATGTGATGATCTTGATTCTTGATGATGTGTTCAGAGGTGGCGGATTTTAAGTCAAGTTTGTTGACAGAGGACATGTGTTCTTTGAGTCTGGTGTTAAAGTGTCTGAGGGTTTCTCCGATGTATTGGTGGCCACAGTTGCAGGGGATCTGGTAAATGCATCCTCTGGGATTCGGGGGGAGCTGCTGGGGCCTCTGCCGGGCTCGCAGGGAGCTGATGGTCTTGGCTACAGAAGGTGATATCTGCTTGGTTTTTGAGGCGAGAGATCTGATGACGCAGGGCCTTGGAGGGAGATTCTATGGGTGATGAGGTTTGGGTCTAGGATCGGAGTTGTTGAGGGTCTTGCAGATGGTTTTGGAGACAGGCGGGAAGCTGTGAGTATCTCACAACAACTGTACAAGGAGCCATTGACATCAGGAAGAAGAATTGAAGAAGAATTGTTTATTCTCGAAAATCATACAGAATGATATAGAGAACATACAGTCGTTTAAATACAATATCATATGGGTAGGTATTTTGATTTAGAAGTGGCTAAGCACAGTTTTAGCAAAAAGTGAAAGTTTCAATAGGAGTGGGGTATAGTTTGATTTCATAAGTGAGATAAATTTGTCCATATGTGGATTATTACAGAAATAAGAGGGAAGAATCCTCTTACGTTCGACATTAAGCTGTGTACATGATAAAATAGCATGATACTCGTCACAAATAATATTATTTTTACAAATTGTACATGTTCTGTTTTCTAGATTAATATTAAACCATCGTCCCGTTTCAATGGGTAATCTATGATTAGAAGTTCTTAATTTTGTTAACCAGATACGAAATTGTGATGGTAGATCTAGAAAATAAGGTTCTAAAGTAAGTAAGGTTTTATATAGATGATAATATTTTCCTTTAGATGAATTTTGGGCATCAGCATACCATGATTGTTTGAACTGGTCAATTAATGAATTTTTGACATGATGTTTCAGCCAGTCGATGCTAGGGAACTTTTGAGATTGCCAAATATAGGAGAGCCCGACGTTTTGAAGAATATTTTGGACTGCTTTTAGTTGGTCGAAATCAGCATTCTGGAGAGATGATCTAAATTTCATAATGTTATAAAGAATGTGGGGAAATTTACTAGTTTCAGTTGTAACTTTACACCAGTAGCTGATGATTTTTACTTTTATAAGAACATCAATAGGATATCTGCCTAATTCACCATACACCATAAAATTTGGTGTAGATTGTTTTACTTTAAGAATATATTTACAAAACTTTAAGTGCGTTCTTTCCAAGATGATTGAATTTTCATAGCCCCACACTTCCGAACTGTAAAGTAGGATTGGCAAGATGCATTGATCAAAAAGTTTTAGTTGACAATCAATTGGTATTTGTAGTTTTCGGATAATTTTAAAGATGGAAAACATGGCTCTTGATGCTTGTTCCGACTGTCTCTTAATTGCCTTTGTGAATTTACCATTAGCATTAAACAATATTCCCAAATATAGATATTCTCGAACAACCTCAATTTCATCATTACAAATTAGAAACTTATGTTTATTCCTAACATAGCCTTTTGAAAATATCATGATCAGGAGACACCAACCAGCCATGAACAGCGACCAAGGAACCCACCTGCCCAATGCCTGGGACTTGTTACTTTGATCATTTATGTATGTAATGATTGCGTTATCAATGTCTGTGCTTATCATCTTACTCTGGGTCCATCCGTTTGTATTGGCCTCTAATTGTCTTTCTCTATTGCGTTTATCCATTAGTGTTATTACAGGCTACCTCCCATCTGCCCTATGTCCATTCTCCAGATATTGGCTTCTAGATGTCAACTGTTCATCTACTATCAACACTATTTAACTGTTGAATGTTGGCTTCTATCAGCACTAATTAACTAGTGTTGGCTTCCATTCAGTGCTAATTAACTGTTAAGTGCTGGCATCTGCATCTTTGTTGTCTTAATACTTTTGTTGTTCTTACATGTGCATATATACTAAGCAGCAAAAGAAACGTCAGCTTGGAATTGTCCTTCGCAGAAACGGATAACTGTAAACTCATTTGATGATCTATTTGATTGGCATACATAAACAATCTTACTTTCTTATAACTCATTTGATGTTTTGATTGTATATTTTTGACAACATCTCCAACTTTACCTGGGCAAAGACATACCTTCCCAAACTCACAATGGAACCCAGGAAATGGTCTCAAAAACGCAACCTGATCTCGGAGGTGGTACGGTGTTCTCCATGTTTTTCATGCAACTCATGCTGCACGTGCTGTTCACAAGGACCAGCCCTATAAAATGCACCCCAAACCTGGTTGAAACATTCACATTACAACGTCAGCAGGATGCCACGACTCACGACAGCTCAGAGGAAGCAGGCGTTGGGAAGACTTGAAGCTTGCCACACTGCACAGGCCGTTGCCAATCACTTTTAGGTCAACGTTCGGACCATCTACAGGCTGCAGCAACGTTTCTGGGCCACCAACACCACAGATGATCGCCCCCGTACTGGCAGACCAAGGGTGACCACAAGACGACAAGACCGCCATTTTGTGCGACAGCATGTACAGAATCCCTTCATGCAGGCATCCGAAACAGAACGCCAGACAGTGGGAACACACGGAAGACCAATCAGCACTGATACAGTTCTTCGACGTCTTATCAGCGGAAACCTCCATTGCCGTAGACCTTACCGTGGAGTTATCCTCACCCCTCGTCATCGGCGTGAACGTCCACAGTTTGCCCTACAACAACAAAACTGGCGATACAGGCAATGGAGAACTGTTCTGTTCACAGATGAGAGTCGGTACTGCGTATCAACTGCAAATGGCAGAACAAGAATATGGCGACGACGTGGCCAGCGTTACTCAGACCAATATGTTACTGAAAGAGACTCATGGGGAGCAGCAAGCATCATGGTATGGGGTGGATAAGGCCTGAACCAGAGAGTGGGTCCTGTGGTGTTCCAGAACCTTGGTCCAGGGAGTGGAGGCGGCATCACAGCGGTGCGCTCTTCCCACATTTCGCACTTCACCGGAACAACATTTTCCAGCATGATAACGCCGGGCCCATACTGCCAGAGCTACACGGGACTTCCTACAGCAGAACGGTGTCAACATTATGCAGTGGCCAGCCCTTAGTCCTGATTTAAACCCAATTTAACATCTTTTAGGTGGAATTCAGAGGAAACTGAATAATGTCATACCAAGGCCGAACACAGCCGTTTATAGTGCCAGGCCTTTCTCACAGTGTAATTCAAGGTGCCAATGGCCTTCATCAATCGATTGGTGCACTCCATGCATAGACGTTGTGCTGCAGTTTTTGCCGCTCGTGGTGGTCACACTAGATACTGAATGGACTGCAAACGTTCACGTAATGTCTTGAAGTTATTCATTGATATGTCAAGATATTGTACAAAAAAAATTGAATTCGTACTGACGATTTTTTTCTGCTGAGTATATGTGCTATCTCCCTCATACCATTCATTCACCTGATGAAGGAGTAAGGATATACTCCAAAACGTTGTGTTCCTCATAATAAAGAAGTTGACATCCACAAAATTTCTCTTCCCCTATATATTATTGTTAGTGATTGCTACATGTAACGTCCATTTTAGATATAAGAATATATGCAATTTCAGAATTTGCTTCTTACATAAAGCGCCGCATCAAGTTCTTATTAAACAAAATAACAACAACAAAAATTATACTTCACTAAACATAAGAAGCAAAACCATCTCCATAATACTGACCATATTCCATTTTTTATTCAGCTTATACCACAATCGTGGGTCTTTCTTTGAAATAGAAACAGACATACTTGTTAGGAATACTTTATCTTCCTGTGGTATCTTAAGCAAAAAAATAAGTTCTGTTCCTTAAAATTACAAAGACATACACATCTATTTCTTGCACTGTATTTTTTTTCCGCAGTAGCCAGGATATTGAAAGTCTAAGAACTACCAGGAAGACACGCATACTCCATGACCGATACTCTGTGACTGTTTCTCAATTGTATTGCAGTGACCCCTTACCATGCTGCCACAGACGTATCTGCTCGGATTGACTGAGTTTTTGACTGTAGTTTTTAGTTACCATGGTGAGTCTTTTTATTGTCTTTGTTGTATCATTCAGAGGTATTTCCTCTAATTCCAAACTGACAACCCGATCCTCTCGTGAAGATCCGGGTTAGAATTGGTCTTCAGCAAGAGGCGACTAACAGGTGGTCAGGCTCGCTAAACATGTCATCGTATCCCAATTCCGTAGATCGATGCTCATGCTGTTAATCACTGGATTGTCTGGTCCAGACTCGATTATTTACAGGCCGCCGCCATATAGCTGGAATATTGCCGAGTGCGGCGTTAAACAACAAATAAACAAAAATATTGGCATCAAGAACAGGTTGCTTGAAAACAGTTCAAGCACGGAATCCCAGAGAGGCTTGGGTTTAGTGGAAGGAGTGATTGGGGAATGGAAGGCAAGGAACCATTACAAATCATATTATTTAACAGCAGGGAATCAATAATAACAACAATATAAATGCATTCGTATTGCTCTAACGCTGCTGCTGTTTCGCCCAAATGGAAGTGTAACCATTTTTAAAACGAGTAGATCAATTTTTCGTTCGATGCGCTTCTTCAACACTAATCGAAGCATTTATTAGTCTCCTCATTAACTATCACTTGATCACACAATCTGAATAGGGGAAGAATGTTGTTTAATTGAATTCGAACTCGGAAGAATTTCCCGAATCTTTACTGTAAAATATATTTTTAATCCTAAAATGTGCATTCACATTGGTATGAATTTTGCTATGAGTTCGTTTGATGTTAACTGTAGTATCTAAAGGTCTGTACATAGGAATATGTTTTATGCATCTCAAGTATTTCAACTGTATACGACATGTATCGACAGTTTGTGATATTAGAATTCAGTTTCACAATATCTTCTCCTTAGAACAATGCACGTTAGTTCCTACAAGTCTGAAGACTCTAGTTCTTAATTGTAGCAGATTTTCTAATTCATTGTAGAATGAATAGCCATATACGTCATCGATATTTTTACACTTCATACAACTGCTGTCATATACCTTAATATTAGGCAAGAACCCGATCTTTTCACCTTTCAAGTTTAACCATTGAAGGCAAGTATCAAAAAGACCTGTCCAAATATTGCCATCGCAACTATTAACAACTGTCAACAACTACAGTTGGCGAGATCACGTTATGCATACATCTAATGTTTTCCATTAGACTGTTTAAATAATGTGCTGAATGTTTTTTGACAAGCTGTTAACTTAGTCTTTAGTTACGCATGCCATGATAAAATACAACTTCAAGGCTAAACGTTCACATTAATATTTCTTCAATATTCCAGTCTCTCAGGGTTAGCGTCCACAATAGGGAGCCTATAGGCCATATCTTTGCAAACAATGTACGGACACAACGCGTGTGACGTCTCTGTGTTGTGGTAGATGTTTATGATGATTTTTAGCAAGCTGCAATATTAATAACACAATTCCGCTGCGATACACGACTTTATTACATTCATATAATCTATATCATGGCATACCATGTTGTACCATATGGGGCGGTGGAGTAGAATTGTGGCTAAAGCGTTCGCTCGTCACGCCGAAGACCCGGGTTCGATTCCCCACATGGGTACAATGTGTGAAGACCATTTCCAGTGCTCAGCGCCGTGATATTGCATAAATGTCTAAAAGCGGCGTAAACCTAAACTCACGCACTCACCTTTGTACCTTATACAATTTGCTTTTCGTATGAAAATGAACTCGTGAAGATCCGGGTTAGAATTGGTCTTAAGGAACCCATGCTTGTCTTCAGAAGAGGCTAGCGGGATCGTGTGGTCAGGATCGCTGACTTGGTTGACACATGCCATCGTATCCCAATTCCGTAGATCGATGCTCATGCTGTTGATCACTGGATTGTCTGGTCCAGACTCGATTATTTACAGTGCGGCGTTAAACAACAAACTAACATCGTTTTTATCACGTGGATGGAATATTGCAAACAAACGCACATTTTCTTCTTGCATACTGTTGAGTATTACCATAACTTACAATGTTTCTTATTAATGTTATCTGGAATTGTAGCATTTCCTATTTCAGGGCTGTTGATGGCTGTGACAACGGCTGGAAGAAAATACACGCTGTTCAGAAATCTTCACAGCTGGAATGAAGTACGTGATATTTGTATAACCTCCAACATGGGGATGCTGAAGATTGCTTCAGAGGCTGAGATGAACGGCTTCAAGAAGGTCTTGGAGCCCTGGATCAGCGATGGGAAACTGTAAGTACTTTCACAGTCGTTTTTATAACATATTGGGGTTATATTAATGTATGAGTGAGTGAGTTTAGTTTTACGTCGCCTTTAGCAATATTCCAGCAATATCACTGCGGGGAACACCAGAAATGGATCTGACACATCTTTCCCATGTGGGGAATCGAACCCGGGTTTTCGGCGTGACGAGCGAACGCTTTAACCACTAGGCTACCCCACCGCCCCTATTATTGTGTGATAATCGCTGGACTCGAACGAACACTGAACATTATGTCGAAGACAGGGACAGAGTAAATAACAACTCTGATTATCGCATTAGGAGTTTTATAATCAAATCGCTGATATCAAGATGAACCATAATTTCAAAGAAGAACACTTCGCAGTTTGGTACAGAATGACAACGTATTACTAAACCTATAGACACATATATCCATTAAGTACTAAATTTAACAATTGAACTCATATTGAAAGGATGCCACAAAACAGAAATATAAACCAATAGCATCCCAGGTAACAATTTCATATTGTCACAACGTTATGCTTTGGTTGTCACAACGTTATTCTGTGGACTCCATTTACGTTGTCACAACGTTGTGGCCTGACGTTGTGATACGTCATCTCTACGTCGCACAGGGGTACATGATGCTAACGGATTTTACGTTTTCCTAACGTTCTAGTTAACGTTAATTGTTGAATAGGCTTCCCAGTGGTGAGCAGTACAAAGGAAACGAAGCAGAAATTCACTTCAATGTTAATTCGTCAATTTGCATGTTGTTTTGGTTATGTGTTTTCTGAAGCTGCAGCTGAGTAGTGAAGAAAGAATGTCAAAGTGAATGTTTTACAGAAAACTCTATCCTGACAAGTTATAAAAAACCTTGTTATAGTGAGAGAGTTGAGTTTTACGCCGCAATATTCCAGCTATATGGCGGCGGTCTGTAAATAATCGATTCTGAACCAGACAATCCAGTTATCAACAGCATAAGCATCGATCTGCGTAACTGGGAGCCGATGACATGTGAAAACCAAGTCAGCCACCCGATCCCGTTAGTCGCCTCTTGCGACAAGCATGGGTTACTGAAGATCAGTATTCTAACCCGGACCTTCACGGGTCAAACCTTGTTATAACGTTGTGAGGAGCCCAAAGCAGAACGTTTCCTCAACGTAAATTTGCAACGTTGTTATTACGTTGTGACATTACGTTATAACATGACGTAATACTAACGTTGTGACAACGTTGGATAATGACGTTACCAATCTACAATATTCACTCTGGGATTACCTTCGGTTCACTCCCAGAAGACAGACCTCCCAAAAGATAGACCTCGCATAAGAAAGACTCAATGAGTACACTAATTAGCTGAGCTATGCTGTACACCCCTATTTAATTAATGAGCTGACCCAGAGTCACTACAGGGTAGTATAGTAACATCACAATTGAACAGAACAGAATAGAACCGAAATTTTGTGACACAGAGAACATACAGCATATTGATACATATTATAACATTGAACAAAGTCCAATTTTTATAAATTTGGCAACTTTAGAGTTAAGCGGTGAATAATCTCTTTTGTTTAGATAAACAATTTTTTTCAGTAGTAGGATGTTTACAGAACTAACAAAACATGAAGTTCATTACAGACACCTAACTTCACACTATGCATAAACTCACCTCAATAAGCTAATTTACATATTAGTTACATCATGTTCATAAAGAAAACACTCAAGATCATGCACGTAGAAATAACTGGAGAATAGGACGTTTTTATAACATTTGTTGAATTGGGTTTTTTCAAATAACTGGAGAACAGGATATTTTTAGTACTTAAGATTATTTGAAGATGAAAGTGAAATAGTATTTATAAAATTCAGTATAAACCAAGTATATAACTGGAGAACAGGATGTTTTCTAATAGTTATTTTTCACATGACATTTTTCACATGCCATTTTTCCTATGACTATTTTCCGATCACCCTTCTGGATGGCTTCCTGTATGCCAAGAACTAGGTGAAAGGAACAAATGATGATGTTCAAGTGACTTTCTAAAAATATATTTAATACCTAGTGTTGTCTTTTTTTATCTGGGCACATGACATTATTATCAAGGGTACAGCTTAATTGAGGCTTATGCAACCAACCATAAATGTGTTGCTTTAAGCGGTCTGTCTTTTGGGAAGTCTGTCTTATGGGAAGATACCTTACCTTCAGTGGCTAATCCGGCCTTGACTGTATTGATTTTTCCATCACAAGGGATCAATATTTCAGTGTAAAAACAATGAAGGATATTTTTACCATGTCAAGTATCAGGTTCTTGAGAGGCGATGGGCAAGGAAGAGCCCAGAAACGTTGTGTATAGAATAAACAAGAAGTTGACCTCCATAATATTTGTTTTAAGAAATAGAATTGTTTTCAAAATTTTAAGCAATATGTTTAATACATAGATACTTTTGCTAGTTTGTCAACAAATTGCTTAGATCTGAAGGGATGGTGTAAATCCAGCTGGGGTCCATGCAGGAAGCAAAAGTCCCAATGGTCTCTAGCATGGTGATCGGGGACAGGTCAAAAGGGCCGCATGACAAAAGGGCCGCAAAACGGAAAAGTCAAAAGGGCCGCAAGAAAGTCAAAAGGGTTATGATTATGACAAATGCACACTTAAGGTCTTCATTTCAAAAAGATCGCATTCAATTTACACACTCGGCTGGTCCTGTCAGCCTCGAGCACAAACTCAACAGTTCAGTCGGGCTAATTTCTCCATTCTTAAAGAGCCGCCAGGCAGCAAATACCTCCTCCTGGGTCCTGCTGGCTGTTGACAATTCACAATCACACTTAATGGAATGCTGGTTCTTCCTCACTGTTTTCAAACACTTCACACACACATAGTAGAAGGAAGTAATATCAAAAACAAGTCTGTCCATGATTTTATAGTCACACATTAACACAGAGTCGACTCAGTGTCAATTGTGCTGTTTGGGGCAAAGGGCGAATTTGTTGATAGAGCATGTGTGATTGAGCGGAGTGTGTGTGTTGGTGGCGAAGGCCAGTAGTATGAGCTTTCATTGTCTTGGGCTTGGGGTGGGGTGGCTTTGTCGCATTGTTTTTTGTTTGATATAAAAACAAGTCTGTCCATGATTTTATAGTCACACATTGACACAGAGTCAACTCAATGTCAATTGTAAGGTTTAATAACAAAGAAAACAATACTCTAAAATATTCTGACAGTATTCACTGAAGAGCAGAGAAAACAAGACATCCTAGGGATTAGTGACAGCTTACATGATTGTCAAAACACAAATATGGCATCAAAGGGATATATTGTGTATATGTTTTCGTGTAATATTGTAGTTTCTTACAGGTGTGTTGTGGTTCCATTGTTAAATGCATTTTTCTGCCAAAGTATTTGTCATAATCATAAATGACAAGTGTTTTGTTACTTAAATGAAATAAATAACCATTACATACATCTATTTTTTCTAGTCATCATTTTCTTTCTAATATTGAAAAAATATCTATTAAAAACATGATTAGTATGTGTAAAATATATATTGTATAGATGTATAACCTTTTACTATAATACACTTTTTAAAAAAGATGCTATTATTATTTTTTGTACATCGGTCCCTTTTGACTTATTGATGCGTCCCGTTTGACTTTTTGATGCGGCCCTTTTGACTAGGGGTTTGCGGCCCTTATGACTTTCTGTCGGCCCTTTTGACTTTTCTGTTTTGCGGCCCTTTTGACTAGGACCCATGGTGATCTACCTTCAGTTGTTGGTTATCTGTAGCCTGTTTTCATATTGTATTGTCTTCTATTGTTAAAAAGTCTCAGATTTACATGCTTGTTTCACATCTATATTTATGATAATTTAGTTGCTTTTACTGTCCCTGTATGACAGGTTATTATAGTTTAACTTTATGTATTTTGAAGGTATAACTTGTTTTAATCACGATATGGCTGCAATACTGCCGATGTGACTTAAAATCGTAACTCACTCACTCGCTAATCCCGCCGAAGTCCGGTTTCGAATCTCCCATATGCTTACAACGTTTTACCTGTGTCAGTGACCGGCCGTTAGAAAACATACTCATCTCCTTGCATTCATCTCCAAGCATCCGTGTACCTGTGGTGTAGTGACCGGGGCTGTTTGTTCGCATGATAGATCAATCACTTGACATGTTTGGGCGAATGAGTTTAGTTTTACGCGGCAGTCAGCAATATTCCAGCTATATGGAGGCGGTCTGGAAAAAATCGAGCCTGGACCAGACAACAGTGATCAACAGCGTGAAACTCGTTCTACGCAATTTGGATACGATGACATGTGTCAACCAAGTCAGCGAGCCTGACCACCCGATCCCGTCAGTCGCCTTTACGACAGGCATGGGTTGCTGAACATCAATTCTAACCCGGATCTACACGGGTTGACATGTTTGGAATCAAACAGATCTTACGCAGCAACTGGAAAAGAAATATCTGCATCAACTACTAACAACTGACCTTGAATGAAACTTTGTCAGCTTCTTGTTTCACGCCGCTTCTAAGCAGTCTTCCAAATATGACGGCCATCTAATCCTGAAATAACATTTATCTATTTTCAAGAACATATTCATCAAGACATGGGAAAACAATTCTATTTCCGTTACAAAAAAACAACCAAAAGTAAAAGAATAATATATGTACATTATGAAAAGATCCATGACCGTTTTCACCCTAAAATAGTTATCCCTTGTGAAGGAAGAATCAACATAGTCAAGCAGGACATACTTTCATCACAAGGGGGGCGGTGGGGTAGCCTAGTGGTTAAAGCGTTGGCTCGTCACGCCAAAGACCCGGGTTCGATTCCCCACATGGGCACAATATGTTAAGCCCATTTCTGGTGTCCCCCGCCGTGATATTGCTGGAATATTGCTAAAAGCGGCGTAAAACTAAACTCAGTCAGTCAGTCAGTCATCACAAGGAATACGGAGAATCCTCACTTTTAATAAATAGTGTATACAGTGAAGCCCCGTTAGTCCGGACTCCGGATCTCTCGCCTCCCGGACGATTTCAGCTTGTTACCAATCTATGCCTATATAATTTGCCTCGATAATCCGGAAATTCGGTTTCCGGAACCGGACGGTAAGTAGCTGTCACCAATCAGTAAAATAAACAGTAAATTGTTTCACAGTCCGGACGCTGTAAGTCGTGTTCACGAACCGTAACAACACCTCCCGGCGATGCTTACTTAATTAACTGGCCAACTGGGTTGTTGTTTTAATTAGACAATAAAAGCTCCCGACTGAAGATGCTGTACATTTACACTTTGATTGACACCACAATACAAAGGCGTGTATATCTGCTTTGTCCAATAATCACATAATGACCTCTTCAAATCTGGACTGACAACCCAAGTAGATGTGACCAATTTGATGTAACATATTCATACTTACTTGAGGGGCGGTGGGGTAGCCTAGTGGTTAAAGCGTTCGCTCGTCACGCCGAAGACCCGGGTTCGATTCCCCACATGGGTACAATGTGTGAAGCCCATTTCTGGTGTTCCCCGCCGTGATATTGCTGGAATATTGCTAAAAAGCGGCGTAAAACCATACTCACTCACTCACTCATACTTACATGAGTGTCCCACTTCTTTGTATTCTATCACGAATATAAGCTCTACGTATACGTATATGATGTATGGCGTCAGAAGTGGGGTCACGGATTTGTTGAGTGCTGCTTTTGCACATCTGATCAGCCATTCCGTTACCAGAAATTCTGCCATGACTGGGTAACCAACAAAAAACGATGTCGTATATGTCAGTAGCAAGAACATTTGATAATTCAATAAATTCAATTAATAGTGGATGGGTACAAGACTAATTTTAATTGCCCGAAGACAAGATAAAGAATCTGAAAATATAATAGTTTGTTCCCTCATCATAACATCAATATAAGCAATTCTTGAATACCTGATTTTCATACTATCTATTCTTTCTTTCAGAACAGCTGATATGTGGTTAGGACTGTATGACAAGGACCCTACGGGAGCCGATTTTGTACACTATTGGCAGTACGACTGCACACCTCTCGGGAAGTATGCCCCTTGGTTGACCAACATTGAACCTGATGGAAAAGGAAGTGAGAACTGTGTCCGAACCACGAAGGGTGGGGTTTTCAAAACAAGATCTTGCGTTTCCACTCTAGCGGTTATTTGCCAGAACAACACAGGTTTGTTCGGATACCATATTTCCTGTTCAGCTGTAATCTTCGTCTATTTTTTTATTATCAAAGACGTTTCCAATGTTGATCTGGTAGTCAGACTAGCTGGCCTGGTTGACACATGTCATTGCATCCCATTGCACCCAAATCATTGGATTTGTCTGACTGAGGCTCGAGTATCTACAGACGGCCGCAACATAGCTGGAATACTGCTGAGTATGACGTTAAATGACAAACAAACAAATCGTGATAGAGAAACACGAACCATTGCACCTGAGAAAATGGGAAATGTAAACAACAAAATATAAGCATCATGCAGATATTTCTACAGAAATCAGAAGAAATATCTGAATTCTCTGCTTAGTTGTTTTTCAGTAGGATTATTCCGCAGCAATGTGGGTTAACTTTTAAGAAAACTTATTGGGACATACATGATATCTATTCATCTCATCCAGAGCTGTCCAGAGACGTCAATTCTTGCTAAATGTCTTTTGTAAGGCCAGGTTTAAACTGCTGGCATTCCGAATTTGCCCAATCCTTCTTTCGTTTTGTTCTGATGTTTCAATGTTTCAGTCAGATACTGATGCTTCCGTGTCTCAATATTTTACATGCATTCGGATGTACATGTGTGTGAACTTGTACGCGTTGATTCCCAAAGCGAAACGAAAAGCTTAACCGAGAAACAGTCCGTAAATGAACTAGGTGTGAGTAAATGTCACCTTCTTTAAAATAGTGGTGTTCCGATTAATTAAATGAATCGAAGCTATCGATCACAGTTTCTCATGATCGAACACAAACAATTTTGGAACTACTGTTTTAGTCCTTGAAACACTGCTTCGAACTTGTCAGGGCCTGAAAAGGTGTTTAATTCTTAGAAAACTCAGTTCACTAACTGAAAAGTCATGACTGAATATTTCTTGAAGATTCCATAAAGTTAACGTTCATGATGTATTAGGCATCACTGTAAAGTAGCAAGTCGCATCATGTTAATAATATACATATCTGCAATAAGAAACCTGAAAATGACGCTAACCAATTTGTTTCGATGATTGGTCGTTGGTAATGAAGCAATCATCAATTGTGAGATTTCAACCACTTCCCAACAATACTTGAAAACATCTCCGCACACATTCAGCATAAGTCATTGTCTTAAAAATGACAGCACCAAATATTGTAAAATAAGGTCAGTTTTAAGTACTGGGTGGGTGTACATTTAAGAAATACAAACATCTTACTTAAAATCATCCAATCAGAGTTGTCAGATGATTCAGTCTGTAAACTCCATAACCTGTAACTTGAGATGTAATGTGAAATGAAAGGCAAGAGTAAACTCCCTTTATATACCTACGAAATTATTCAGGGATTCCTGTTCTATACAGACAGACAGACAGAGTTTATTTTGTAATGTCGGCCTAATGGCCCATAATACAGTAACATAATATAAGGTACAGATGGTCAGTGGTCATTCTCATTAACTACATTGTAGCTTTATACCTGCAAGAGAGTATTTGGTGTATAAATAAAGCAGTAATGTATATAATACGTGGATGTTTAGAGCTTAAAATATTATGGAGTGAGAGTGGGCCCTTATATACATTTCTAAGTTGGATGAGGTATTTTTCGCGGAAGTGTTGGTACTGTTTACAAGAAAAGAAAATAGGTTTTTCGTCTTCAACCTGTGGGGAATTGCAGAATGTACAGTAGAGCTCTTCAATAGGCACATCCTGATGACAAAAGATGTTGGCTTTAAAATCGTTGTGGGCAATCCGAAATTTGCAGAGAGCACGTATGAGATCTTTACTTTTTAGTTCTGTGATGTAAGGTTCCAGTTGGAGATCGTATTTGAACTGTGGGTATTGATTTAGATGTTTTGATGTATTGATATCGTTGCGCCAGCTTTGGTGTCCTATATCTGTAACTCGTTTTTGGAAGATAAACATGAATAACTTTACATTGTCAACTCCTCGGTTGAACCATACGTGTGGAAAGCCGGTTCGGATAAGAATGGTTCTTACATTTGATCTATACGGTTCCTTGTGTCATTTGACAGATCTATAGGGTTGTAGTACATTCCAAAACAGGTCTGAATATAGCAAACCACTGTCATTATAAACCTAAGCAAAGGATGCCAGAACATATATACACAAACGCTGGTGATTCTTGAATAAGCTCCGTGTAGCACTTTCAAGTTCTCTGTATCAAAATCTAGCACACTACTGCCCCTCTCTGAACATCACACTCTCGGTGTATTATACATGGACGACTATTATAAGGGTAATGCTATTTTTGAGGGCATTATCATTTGCAGAAGCCCGAGGTCTTCCATTAACTGCCCTCCTTCGTCGGGCAGTTGAAAAGACCGAGGGCTTCTGCAAATGATAATGCCCTCAAAAATAGAATTACTGTTATTATTGCTAAAATACATGGAATTTGTGTTGAAAAGAAAAAGGAAACAATGAAGGAATTTGACTGTGAGTTTACCCAAATCAACTTCTGACGGGGTTGACTGCTCGAATGCAATTACGTCATCGAACAATTCAAGTGACGTCACAACAGAAAGTGACGATATTCCACCTTGGCCTTTGATAAACCATACCCTGCAACATGTCAAACTATGTCAGTGTTCGGTTTTGGTCCATCAACAGCCTTAATAGTGCAATTGTAAAGGTTAGCACCAACAAGAAAGCCAATATTACCGCTATTTAAAGCGGGAATTCGGGTTGCTTTGACTTGTTTGACCCAGAATATCTGCCAGTCGAAAGCCAATTAATGTCGAATGAACCGTAAGCCCACGCACCCACTATGACGTCACTTGACATCAGAACTGATAGTGGCCCGTCGTTAAGGTCGAGCGGTCCAATATCATTTACAGCGGCCCGCAAATTTCTGATAATGGGAGGGCCGTTTCATGATAATTCCATGTATTTTAGCTATAATACACAATGAATGTCACTGCCTCGTGACACTGCCAAATACTATTGTTTCAACCAGTTTCCTACATTTCAATATTTCAGCTCAATGCTGGTACGAGGAGTACGTTAATCAGAAGATATCCAATGACAACCTGCAGAAATCATCTGCGGCGGACTTACAGGAATGTAAAGCTATGTGTTTGGAGACGACAACAGGAACGGACGAGTGTGTTGCAATATCACACGACGGCGCAGTTTGCAACATCTACACCGCAGGAAGCATTTACATCATCACATTGCCCAGCATGACTGCGGACAAAAGCTACAACACTCTTGTGAAACGATGCTATGATGGTCAGTTAACACATGCATTCATCATTTCATCACAAACATCTGTTCAATGTGTTAGTCCTCCTGAGAGGGTACGTAAGTCCCAACACATTTAGAGTAAATTTAGGCATGCCACGTTTTTAATCGTAGAATATGTGTGCTTTTAATTTATGGCTAGATTTCTCTTCTGTCGCCAATGGCTGAAGGGATGGTGTAAATCCAACTAGGGTCCATGCAGGTAGCAAAAAGTAATGTAAGTCCCCATGGTCCCTGGTATGGTGATCTACCTTCAGTTATTGGTGATTTATAGCCATTTTTATACTGTATTGTTTTCCCCCTATAGTTAAAACGTTTTAGATTTAATTACTAGTTTTACATACATATCTGTGATATTCTAGTTGTTTTACTGTCCTTCGTCGACAGGTTTTTTATAATGTCAATATATTTCATTTCAATATCAAATGTTCTCGTCACGATATGGCTGAAATATTGCCGATGTGACGTTAAATATTACCTCACTCACTCACTCACTCAATGTGTTAGTTTTGTTAATATTCACCCCCCCACACGTGACGATCCGGGTTAGAATTGGTCTGCAGCAGCCCATACTTGTCGTAAAAGCATACTATGGATGCTGACATGTATAGATATACGTTTTATGTGTATCACTCCTAACTCATTTTGCTTAAAACATATTTTTGAAGTCATTCCACCAATGAAAGGCATGGAAATCAGAACACATTGGTGATTTAGGATGTGACTGAATAAAACACTGAGACGTTTCAAAGCATTAACGTCACAGCATAGTAAGGTTACATTGGGAACGTCGCCGTATGCCACTTGACTGTCTTTCGACCATTCACCATAGGAGACAAATAGGTGACCTTGAATTTATGAACTATGAGATTTAGGTGTTTGGTGCTCGTGATTTTTCAAAGATGTTTCACATTTCTTTAAATTATTTCCGCCGCAAAAGGTGCAGACGCAAGACATTATATTTTTATCTTTTTGTCACTTTCATTCGTCAGCTTGGTCTGCATTATCGTTGTTTAATGGGGATGGCTCTGTGTTGACACACAACTCCTTTGAGGCTGTAGTTCGGTTTTATTAACTGAAGTTTGTTTTCCACTTACTGTGTACAAATAATCTATGGGACAACTTGCATCAAACTGGCCACATGTTGTGAGGTACCAACGTGCACCAACAAAGCACCAACAACACCAACCAAACACCTACAATTCACCAATCTTATAATCATCCTTCCATGACCTTCTAACCACCTTGCCAAGCTGGCAGAAAGACAGCAAGTGAACAAACTTCGCACTTTCCACATCCAATCAAAATGTTGCATATTGTCAGCCAATGAAAGCCAAGGACAAGACAGCAGACCTCACCTCATTAAGATTTGCCTATTTTCCATAAGAACAACTTGACCAATGACCTAGTGTTCACTATAAATAAACCATGGACTTTTATAAACCTTTTCACTGACAATCGTATTATTGTTTTTGGTGTTATGAATTTATCCCCAACAGGTAAACAAGACAATACATATTAAAATAGATTACCTTTCCAGAACATTTTATAAGTTGCCTATTCTGAACCTGTTACAGTTGAAGACAAATATTAAATGTTGTTTGTTTGTTTAAGGTAATTACAAAGAGGATACTCCATCTGTTTCTGAAAATAAAAATAGAATTGCTGAAAACGATTGCACAACCACAACGTCTTCTTCCACAACTACTGCTTCAACTACCCCTACTTCAGTCTTTGCATCAACTACTACCACACCGGCTGAAACAACAACAGCGGAAATGACTACAACGACTGTATCAACTTCAACATCAGCCTCTGAAGCAACTTCTTCAACACCTCCTACAACCACTTTAACCCCTACAACGGCTTCAACAACTGCTGCACCTACCCCCACTTCTTCAATGTCTTCATCTTCAACACCTCCTACAACCACTTTAACTCCTACAACAACTTCAACTACGGCTGCAACTACCCCCACTTCTTCAATGTCTTCATCTTCAAAACCTCCTACAACCACTTTAACCCCTACAACGGCTTCAACTACGGCTGCAACTACCCCCACTACAGTGTCTGCACCAGATACAACCACACCCACTGCTGCAACTTCCACAACAGCTGCACATGTTACTACACCTGCTGCAACGACTTCAGTTCCAATTACGTCTACTGTCACCGCAACTGCATCTACTACTGTTTCATTTACTGTCACAACTACTTCTGCTACGATATCAACATCGGCTTCCATGACGTCTTCTTCTCCAGCTACAACTACTGTGACCAAGGTGACCTCGGAGTCCCCACTAGAATCCTCTTTATGCAACAACAGTGGTAAGTCAGTATGTACGAGATTAATGTGTGTTTCTCATATCTTGATTTTTGTCCGTTATTTAAAGTCGCACTCAGCAATATTCCAGATATATGGCGGTAATCTGTAAATAATCGAGTCTGAACCATACCCTCCAGTGATCAACAGCATGAGCATTGATCTACACAATTGGGATACGATGACACGTGCCAACCAAGTCAGCGAGTCTGACCACCCGATCCCGTTAGTCGTCTCTTACGTCTGGTTCGCTGAAGATCAGCCGCAGTCATGTAGCTAGACAACTGCTTAGTGCGGCGTTAAACAACAACATATTGTAACACGTTCACAATTTAACTCTGTCCCGTACAGGGTCAACTTCAGGACCTGACAACACCACGTGTTCTGCCATCTGTGTGACCATAGCAGGACCGAACAGTCTCGAATGGCAGGAGCTGATGAGGGCATTGATCCTGAACAGGAAGATGCTATCGTCCTACCGACGAGCCAAGACTTCAGCACGGGATGACCGACCTTCTGCCGGAACCCTCGGGGCATCGGGGATCGGAATTCTAGTGCTAGTTTTTGGATCTCTCATTCTGTTAGATATGGACAGATTTGTTTCCATGTTACATCGATGGTACAAAATGCCTCGCGGAAATAAATTTAGAACCTTCTCTCTTGACAAGAATCTATGACAGTTTTATAGCTATCACTATAGTTCACATCTTTATAAATGAATCGTTGTGGATTTAGTTGCGGAATAGACACACATCTGGTGAGAAATGACTGTATGGATTCTATGGCTACAATGGCCGACCACGACTGCAGTTCTGATTGGTTATGCTAGCAACCTATGGTTTGACACATTCATTTATTTCTGCTTTCTACTTCTTTGAGTGGCATTTTAGAAGTTGTGGAGATGAAGGAAAACCAAGTTCTATGCATAGTCATCACTTCCTTGATAACAGTGTCAGTACCTACACCGAAACGTCGCACTCATTGTAATAAAGAAGTTGACCATCCATAGAACTTGGTTTTCCTTGCTTATTACTATTTACCAAATGTCAGTTGTGTACATTTATGTATTCATTAACAAATTCTACATCATGAATATCAGATTGTTTACTCCATACGCTGTCTTTGTACAAGAGCAACTGGGGACACCGTTAGAGAGAACATCAGGTGAACCCTCTGTAAATTCTGCACAATATAAATGAAGACTGCTTGCTTCCCTAAGCAAATGCAAAAAATTGGTCTTTATTTAAAACAAGACAACGATGAATATGAACCGATGATTCGAATGGATGTATGTACATAAGTAGATTTAAGTTACACAGCCGTGGAAGCTAGCACTAATGTATGTTTGAATTATGAATATGCCCATATTAAGAACTGAGCCTTGACGAGAGTATTGAATATTGTTTATTCCTGACACACAACATTTATCAACCAAAAGAAAACAAACGAGCGTGGTAACTTCTTTATCGATGATTCTCATCTTTAATTTATATCGTCACAAAATATATTTCTTCAATAACAATATTTAAACATTGCTTTTGTCTGGAATTTGTGCATTTATTTCCATTACGTTCACTACTTAATCAATTTGACAATGACAATAAGCAATACAACCCCGACTAAAGCCTCTTAAGTGGATAATACCCGGGAAGAATTGGTCTTCAGCAACCCATGCTTGTCGTAAGGGGCGACTAACGGGGTCGGGAGGGCAGACTCGCTGGCTTGGTTAACACATATCATCGGTTCCCATTTGCGCAGATCGATGCTCATGTTGTTGATCACTGGATTGTCTGGTCCAGACTTGATTATTTCCAGACCGCCACCATTCTTATAATAATTTTTTGTCTTAAATTTAGAGCATAAAAGTGTTTCATAAAAAATATTTTTCACTGAATTTTAGTTCAGACAAATCGTAAGGGTATGTCGGTTTAAAGCTCAGAGTTGTAAAATATGAAATATTTACCTTTGACATGTATGTAATAATTGCTTGTTTGACCCTTTCAGGTCAGGAAATTAGTTCTTAGTTTATGTACATATAGATCCACAAAGTAATCAAAGGATAGGAATTTCCCTTCTGCTGTCAGCATGTCTGATACCGGCAAACACAACTCCATTGGTTTACCAATATGTACATAGAATGGGTTTATTGTCAACCAAAATGTCAGCATTAGACCAGATAGATTTTTATTAGATTTCAAATTCACCTGTAATAGTATCATTTTGCTTAGATGTCCATTACACTTCACAAAACAGAATATTGTACTTTGGTGTGAAAGATAAACTGTACCCTTTTGTCGGTAAAGCAAAGTATTTTAGACACAGTTGAAATCCAACTGTACCCTTTATCGGTCGTGTAAAAAGGGAGATAATTAGTTATTAGTTATATATTATTATTCATCTCCTTTTGGTTATCTCTGCATGCACTTTTCCAGCACTATAAAGAGGAGATGAATAACTTGTGTTCACCTTATTTCATGCTAATGTTTACTTGATATAATACATACCTGCATATTTGCAATACACGCATACACACGCATACACTCCCAATTTCAATTCAATTTTCAATTTCTTTATTCTCATAAACCACCTTGGTGGTACAAGAGCATATATTGTAAACATATATACAAATACAAATTCAAATTCAAGATGGCAGTTAACAACATTTTTTTCTGACAAGAGATGATAGATGTAGGATATATTTTGATAGATTTACTATGTCTCGAGATGTTTTTACAGATAATATTTTCGTGAACTTTGTTTCATTGGGAAAAGAGGTCAAGTGGGAGGGTAAATATTCTTTCCTCAAAGTATCTAATGCTTTACAATGAAAAATATAGTGGTATTCATCTGCGATGCTTTTAGAAGTACATAGTTGACACGTTCTCGTCCTTGGAATATTTTTCCAGCGGCCTGTCTCAATAGGTAAACTATGGTTACATGTTCTAAATCTCAATAATGGCAAAGAAATGCGTTTTGGAAGGAGGAGATATACATCAAAATTGGGAAATGGCTTTAGGTGCTGATAGTGTATACCCTTAGGACTAGAAATAGTGTCATTGTGCCAGTTTTGGATAAATTGATCTTTAAGAATATGTTCAACTTTTGAGACCAGCCACTGGGTAGTACAAATTGAGGGATTATCAAAAACATACGAGAGTCCAGTATTGTCTAATATATTTTTAACGTGCGAGAGCCAGGGATTATGTTTTTTATCTATTGATCTTTGAAGTGATAAATACCTGTAAATTAAGTTCGTAAGCTTAAAAACACCTTCTTGGTAAGTTAACTTGTGCCAAAAGTTTAATAAACGCTTATAAATCATGATTCTAATTGGGAATCTTCCTATTTCCCCATACAGCATGAAACGAGGGGTTGAATTTCTTAATCCTGTAATGAGTCTTAAGAATTTTAAATGAATTTTCTCCAAAATTTCAAGGTTTTAGAAAGACCAGACTTCTGCACCATAGGTCATGATAGGTACTACCATTAAGTCAAATGCTAACAATAAACAGTCTAAAGGCAAGTCTAATTTTCTAGCTTTTTTCACTAAACTATACATTGCTTTTGAGGCACTATTGCTTACAGTTTTAATACTTGATACGAGTTTTCTATTTCTATGGAGCGTTATACCGAGGTAGGTATAACTATCAACTATTTCAAGTAATTTCCCATCCAAATGAAATCTATGTTTTGTGCTTTTTGATGGTCCTGCCCCGAATATTACTATTTTAGTTTTGCTTATATTCACTTTTAGCTTCCATGAATCACAATAGTCCTTAAATGAGTCCAAAGCATCTTGTAGTCCCTTTGACGATTCATCAAATAATATTGTATCATCTGCATATAATAAAATTAACAACTTTACAAATAGCACCAAATCTTCGTCTTCAATATAGTTTAGATTTACACCATTACAGTCTGAAGTAAGTAAATGAGTTTCAATATCATTTATGAAAATGGAGAATAGTAAAGGTGACAGATTTTCCCCTTGTCTGACGCCGTTGTTACATGAGAAGTAGTTTGATACGTCATTATTACATTGTACAAGTGATTTGATATTATTATACATTGATTTGACAAGATTCAGGAATTTGCCCCCTATACCAATCGTTTGCATTTTTTTCCACAATCCCACTCGCCAAACCGTATCGAAAGCTTTTGTAAAATCTATAAAGGCACAATAGAGTTTTTGTTTCCTATCTTTCAAAATTTGCATCAGGTTATAAATTATAAATACATTGTCAACAGTGGAGAATGATTTTCTAAACCCGGCTTGGGCAGGTGTTAAAACATTATTAGTATCCAAGAAATCCGAAAGGCGGTTGTTTAATATTTTAGTGAACAATTTTCCAAAACAACTAAGTAGAGTTATTGGTCTATATGAGTTAGGATCAAATTTATCGCCTTTTTTCTTATAGATCGGTTTAATTATTCCCGTTAACCATGATTCTGGTAAAACACCCTTTTCAAATATGAGATTAAATAGTTCAACTAATAATGGAGCCAGCAAGTCAACACTATCTATAAAATATTCATTTTCTATAAAGTCTATCCCTGATGCCTTACCCCTCTTGAGTTGTTTAATTGCAGAAATAACTTCTTCTTTCACAATGACCCTATCTAAAACATCACATGTAACCTGTATAGCATTGTCAGTATTATCGTTATCTCCTTGTTCACGTTGTGCTGATTCATTTAATGATTTGAAGTGCTCGTAAAATACGTCAATGTCTAAAAAAGAATTGTCATCCTCTTTATTTTGATTACCATTTAAAATTTTCCAAAACTCTTTCGGGTCATGTTTCTGTTTATCTCTCAACATTTTATCTAATTCATCTTTGTAAAGTTTGATATGTTTATCCATGCATTTTTTATAATTCTTAGATTCAAGTCTATAAACGCGTTTGTTATAAACAGATTCATTTTTTTAAATCGCCGTTTGGCTTTATTAAATCTTTTCCTAGCATTATGACACGCTACACTAAACCACGGTTTAGACTTGTTAACATTTTTCTTCCTTCTTTCTCTCTGGCTTCGGACTCCGAAAGTTGCTCGTGCAGCCTCATCTGTGATGTCACTCACCAGGACTGGGTCACCTTGCTCAAGCCTGGCTAAATGTGCTTTCTGGCTCAGGTTGTTTATCCTTGCGGTGTCTAAGTTGTTAATGAATTCTTTGGATTTATCACGGTTATATCCCTCTGTTCTGCTTGACTGCATTGATTTTTCCATCACAAGGGGTAAATATTTTAATGTAAAAACAATAAAGGATCTTTTTTATAATGTTAATTATCATTTAATTATTGGCGTTTTGGAGGAAATGAACTATTGCATAAATTTTGAATAATATGTTTTGTAAATAGATAAATGGTATTTTAATCATAGTAGTATGAATTAGCAACTGCGATTGTTAGTGGCTGTATCCTCGAAGGGGGTTAAAGTATTGTAAAAGTATTATCCTCCTGAGAGGGTACGTAAGTCCCAAACACTTTCGAAGTCAATTTCGCTCAACCATACTTTTTAATCGTAGTATTTTTGTGATTTTAATTTCGGCTAAATCTGCCTACCATCGCCAGCGGCTGAAGGATGGTCTAAATCCAGCTAGGGTCCATGTCGGTAGCAAAAGTCATGGTCCTTAGTATGGTGATCAACCTTCAGTTGCTGGTGATCTACAGCTCGTTCTTATATTGTACTGTTGTCTCTCGTGATATATTTTTATGATAGCGTACTAGTTTAAGAGCTGTGATATTCTAGTAGTTTTACTGTCTTTCTATGACAGGTTGTTACGTTATACATTTATTGATTTGAATATTGAAATCAACTGTTCTCGTCACGATATGGCTGCAGTATTGCCGATGTGACGTTAAATTTTAACTCTCTCTCCTTCTCTCTCTCTCTCTCTCTCTCTCTCTCTCTCTCTCTCTCGTACATACATATAAATATACATATAGGG